CATGCCTCAAATTTTACAAAATGCTAATACTTAAGATAATACATTTGATTCTAACTATTTTGAAAATGAAACACGATGCAAACACATTTAAATCTACAAAAATATAATTCAAAAACACTACAAAAATCATTTACAGGCTTTCATTTACTAGAAATGAGAGGCACACACAGCTGGAGCTTATCTTCCCCTTTTTTAGAACCTGCTACTCTGAATAAACTTGACAATTTATAAAATCTTTTTCATTTTCACTTTCCCATTTCTTCCACATGGCCGCTAAACTAGCGCAAGTTTTTTGTGCTTCCGAGAAAGCTGTTGGCGAAATATCCGCAAGGATAGACCTTTCTTCTAAACTGATGTCTGGAATTTTAATGGCCTCCTCCGTATTACTAGTTAACTTCCTTTCTTCCGAATGCTTTTATGACTGTTCTTCCGGAAATCGCAAAAATAATGAAATTCGAATTACTCGGGATCTTTTCAATTAACCCTTTTTCCTGTACGAAATAAAAGGAAGTATTGTAATCGAAAGTTTAGGCAGCATATTCAGCGAAAATATCCTTTGACCGCTATCGAATGGAAATTTTAACGAGGTTTGCGTGTATTGTACGTAAGGACAGAATTAAAATACTTTTCCTTCAAAAAAAAAATTATAAACTGCTTTAAATAAATTCTGAAGAGAATTTTCGTGGGTCTGTACGAACGTATGTACGTACGTGCTTGCGTACGTACGTATCTCGCATAAACTCAAAACGAGTGCCACAACGTTTGAAATTCTGTATATAGGACTGCTATAAACATATACTGCTGCTACTTTGGTAGACGGTTGCACGGATTTTGGCGACTTTTTGGCGATTGCCTTTTGGCGAGTAATACAACTTATGGTAAACCCATTGCTGGATAAGTTATTTATGGTAAACCGATACTTTGTTGTCATTTATTAAAAAATAATGCGTTTTTATTATGCATAACTTCCGTGTTTTAAATATTATTTATGGCTTCTAAATATTAAAAATCAATTTAATTTTACATTTTTATTTGAAATAAAATTTTGTTGTTTATAATATTTTTATATAATTTATGTTGGGATGATGTAATCAATGACGTCCCTTACTTAAAAAGTAATTGGTTTATTAATATCTATAAATTTAATCTAATGTTTTAAAACATTATTTATGGCTGTTAAATATTAAAATAAATTTAATTTTGCATTTGTTTTAAAAATGATTCTATTATGAATGATTACTTAAAAATTTTAATTTATGCGTGAGTATGTAATCAGCTCCCTGATTGGTTACTGACTATTTGTGCATTACTGCGCCATTTTAAAATTTTATTATTCATCTCTTCGAATTCCTCGGATTTTCAAATGGAATGGATATCTCCGTTTCGAAGACGATGTTGTTATTTGTAATTACCAAGATTATTGGTATTGGAATAAAAAAAATTGCCCTTTGAGACTTTTTTGGCCAACCTGTCTTTCCTAATCAAAGATTTATTTATAAATTGTTAATAGCGTTCAAGAGGGAATTTTGGAGGAAACCGGTAAATGCTCTTCAATGAAGTGCGAGATATTTGGATAACAGATGAAGATTGTTAAAAGATCCGATTCAATTATGATTTCGATTTTTTTTTTGTGGTACTTATCAATAAACAAGAGGTTAAATTACTCAAAAAAATGTAAGTACATATTTTTCTGTATTTCATAATTGTATACTTCAATTTTGTTAAAAAAATTAATACACTATGTTCAAAAAATGCTGAGATAATTATTGTCACATATGTTTTAATGTTAATTATATTTTATATAACGTATTTTAAAGTATTTGAATTAATAATATTCTAATTCTTTAAATGTTGGTAGGATGGTTTTTAATTCGATATTCAATTTCAGTAATATTTTAATCTAATTAAACGTTGGCACAATGTTTTTATAGCGGTTGTTTGATATTTTTTTGCTATGAAAGTAATAATAGCCTTACTTTAGTACTTTATACTCATAGTAAATGTATTTATTTACACTTGCCTACCATCTTAAAAAACGACATTTTCAACAAAAAATTAATCCATTACTTTTAACGATATTTATTTTTTTTTTAAGTTTCGAATACTTTACTATGCGTAAAAACTGCGTTTTTCAAGATGGCTGACGATTGTAAAAATCGTGCCAACAATTGCGCCAACGTAAATCGCCAAAAATCCGTGTAACCGTCTACCAAAGTAGCACCCATTGTACTTATATATATATCCACTCTGTTACCCGGCTCAGTGATCTCAGTTTCTTAACTCTTATATGTTTGTAAATTGTACATTTTGCTTTAAAAATAATTGAATTATGTTGTTTTTATCCCGGTTAAGGATTTTATGCCTTAGTAAATCTGTGTGCAATATTTTTAGAATTATCAGCAATTTTAAAGTTGTATTTGCCGCTAAGCCTGTTTTTAATGGCGGCCATTCATGTTTACATTTGTAACAGGAGACTAGTGGATTTGTGCCAATCTAGAGAAACAGCTTCGCAACAACAAAGATAACGCATTCATTTATATTGCCAATTAAATCATGCTTAATTTTTTTGGAATTTTTTCGAGGATATAAGTGTTGAGATTTACTTTCGTAATTTTTAATATAGATATTTTGAGTTTTTATGTAGTTTTGCCCGTGAGAAGTGAATTAATTAAATGAGAAATACTCAATCGTTGTGTGAAAAAACTGTTTCTTTTTTGTTTGTTTGGCTTAATTTCTTTTATGCATCATTCTAGCTTTATTATAGTATTTGAATAGAACATGTGGCAACGATTAGGTAATTCTATTCTTTAAATGATATAAATTTTGTGCATCATGAGTTATAATATGAACGAAATATATACGTTAACTGTTATATAATTATTGGATTATATAACAGTTAACTTAATTTCCGTTATATAATTATTAATACTGTTAAGTGAATCTAGCGCCAGAGTGTCGCTATGGTAAACAAATACTAGAGTGAATTTTAAAGAATGCATTTATTCTATTGTGGTTTATGCGCTGTCGGCGAGGTAGATTTAATTCAATCCAATCAGTTTAAATGAAATGCAAGAAAAAATGCGTATAATTTAATATTCCAATACAAGGAAGTCATGTGGTGTACACATCAGATTTTTTTCTCTAGGTCGTTCAACTATCGAAGCCGTGGAAGCCAGGCTATTAGTATGAACCACATTCGAAAGTTTTAACTTTTCCAATTCTAAACCTCGCTCCCGTTCTTGTTCCCGCTCTGCTCTCTCTTGTTCACATTCTCGTTCTGCTCTCTCTTGTTCCCTTTCGCATTCTGCTCTCTCTTGTTCACGTTTCCGTTCTGCTCTCTCTTGTTCACGTTCACGCTCTACTCTCTCTTTTTCGGCTATTTCTTCCGCTTTTTTCTGCTCAGCCGCAGCCCAAATTCTTGCCGCGTATTCTTTCGCCGCTTCTTCTTCATAGTCCTCGGCATTTAAAATAGCATGCCTAATTTCTCTTACTCTATTTGCCTGAGACACATTTGTATGAAACTCATCCGCTAACTCCAATAGCAGAGATTTAGTAAATTTCCTCATAAACTCACCCATTATGGAAAATTAAAGAAAAATAACCTACCCCAAAATACAATAACACAAAAACAACAACAGGTCTATCTCTCCAAAACTGATTAATACCCTAATAATTCTGAACACAAATTTCCTTACAATTAATGATTAATGATAATACCTATGTCTACATACAAAAACGTATATAAAAAATGCTAATTAAGATGCAACCTTTTCCTGCGCTAACTCATTTATATAAATATTGTCCTCTAACTCTGGACTGATTTAAAAACTAAATTTTTCTAAAGCATGCCGTTACAATACTTCATACAATTTAAGCAGTTACTAAAACAATAGAATAAAACAATTAAATTCCAATTAGCAAAAGTAACCACAAGACTAACTTTCAATAACCACAAGAAAACTTTTGATCCCCAAAAACAGAGCTATATCCAAAATAAAATTATTCTCAAATAACTGGCATAACTTCTCCAAAATCACAAAAATGGTACTCACCAATTTGAAGACGCCTTCGATGACTCTCCTGGCACTAATTTGGATACTCCAACTCTTCCGAGAAATTTCACTATTTTGCGGCACTAGATCACGCTTCCCCCGGCGTTCCCTTCTGATACACTGTCACTTTCTGAAGAGGCTTCACCACGCGAAATGTCCTTGCCCCCAAAATTAGATCGTTTTTGTGCAGAGAAGAAAGTCTTAACTACTCACATAAAGTCCTTTACAATACGGCCTTTTCTGGAACATCCATTTGACGATCCGGAACACTCACACAACGAGACGCACGGAAATCAACGCACAATGTTAACTCAAGTTCACAGGCGAAAAGTCCGTTCCTAAATTAACTCTCAGGAACAATCCCTAAATGCTGCCACCAATTTTTAATATTTACTGCTGTGCTGTGGTGTTGAACTCCAATGAAAACTCTAATGATGGAACACCGCATGAAAGTTGTTTTATTTAACGCCCAAAATAAAAGGCTACATACAATCAACAAGAGGAAAACCTATCTCTTACTTCTTTTTCCTTTATGCGACCTTATCACAGTATCATAAACAATTTCAGATCCACGAATCAATTCAAAAGTCATAAGATCAGACGAAAAATTGAAAACATAAGAATAAAATGTTTAAAAATTTGATGTTCGTCGTAAATGCGGACATTACATACATGAATACGTCTTCCAGTCACTTTACGTGGCAAGATATGGAAGGAATTAAAGCATATCTCCCTTGCATTCTTATGCTGTGCGTATCAGTATACTGATGCAGAGATTTCAAAGGCTCTGTCAGATTTCGGGTAAGCGTTACGATCTCGTTTTCAGCGATTAGTCTCGTGAAAACGTTAATGTCTTTACATATGCAATAGAAGATTTACTGATTTGTTAAGGGAAATTTAATTAAGGCTTCGACAAAGGTCATAAATGATCCTTTCTCGCTCACTTACCTACACATGAGTCCAGTTTCATTCAGCGATGAATTCATTGGTCTTGTGTCATCAGTGAAATCTTCGGGATCGAAGTAGGAAAGAGAATTGTTGATATATCCGTTAAGAGTTTGATCTTTACTTGTGACAAATATGTACACCAGGCGGGGTATAAAGTCGCTCGTGTAAGCGATCATAAACGCCTAAAATTAAGAAAGAAATATTTTAATTTTGCAATTTAGAACTGAGGTAAAAGTAAGGAAAGCTGCTGCTGTCAGGACTTTGGAAGAGACGAAAAGCAAATTTGTCTGGGATAAAAATGTTTCGAGCTTCTAGATTTAAAATCAAACGTAAATAATTATAATTAATATTAAATATACATAGTAAAGATAGCAGTATGAAAGAAAGATTTAAATCAGATTTTCTAGCTCATGAACAATTAATAAATAAATAAATAATAAAAAATTAAATTAAAAACTTAACGCCAAAAATAAAAGCAAGGAAAATTAAACAAATAATTAACTAAAGAGCGAAGCATGATTGAAAAAGTGATTTTGATACGATTTTAATCGTCATCAGGGAGAAGCATTCAAAGCAACCGTGTTTCTGATTCTAGTTTCGAGTGAATTTTCTTCAAAAACTAAATGGTGCGAGAGAGAACCAATTACGTCGCAGTCGTGATGAGGACGGTGACAGCAAATAGCTTAAAACTACCGCGTAGATCACTGGCTGGAATTTTTAGAAAAACCGCAAACACTTGGAGTAATTCCTATTTTAATTTCTAGTATATTTTGCATTTCTACAATTTAATTAACTTTTTTAATTGCAATTTTAATTTTAATCTTACATTCTGTGGGAAAAGAATTATTTAGTTTATTAAACAATGGGATTTTTCTATTAGTATATTTCTCTAACAGACTGCCTCTTCGTCCACTGAGTAAGTTTTAAGTTCATGTTCTCAGTTATTTTATTGGTATATTTTGTATTACTACATTTAATTTCAAATTCAGTATAAAGTGTCTAAATAATTTCTTTTGCTTATTTGACATTAGAATTTTTACCAGTTGATGTGTCTTTGTATGTTTCTTTAAAGAACTGACACTGCCTCGGGGAAGAATTGAAACTTTTTTTTCAGGTCAACTGCTATAATTAATTTAGAATGGCTAAGTTTTAATAACAGAAACGCAGTGATTTTCAAAGGGAAGGGGATTTAAATAAGTCTGATGTGCCTCCTCTTGATAACGTTACATCAGATTTGATTGCATTTCCTATGTCTATTTTTTGTGGTTTCAGTATTTAATATTTCTTTAATTACTCTCGCTTTTGGTTAATTTTACATATTTATAAGGAATTTTGAAATTTAACAGTAGTAAATTTCACTTATTTTGGGTCTTTGCAGAATTGGTTCTAAGTTTCTTACTTATAGTCTCTCTCTATATATATACATATAGTATAAAATAGAATTATTAAACTTAAGTGCAATCAACTGGCAATACATCTTCATATTCATAAATTTTAATTAAACGCATCCTTGCTACAAAGGATATGCTTTTCTGCATCATTCTGTCGCATGTTACGTCACTCTTTCCCTGCAATTTCTCTGTACTGCTACATCTTTAGCCCAGTCGCTGCTCAGGATTAACATAACGACTTTTGATTACAAATAGGACCGAATTGAGTACGCATTGCTTTTTCTCGCTTGCTATTGCCTGAATAAACCACGTATCTCGCTTCGCTTTTTTCTTCATTGTCTAAAACGTTAAATTCATAAACGTTAAAACACACCCCAAACGTTGTGTCAGTTTTAACCAGAATGTTTCTGAGTAATTGTTCCTGTAAAAAAATGACGCTGAATCATCGGCCGGGAAAGCTGGGGCCTTTGCCCTTGTAATAACGTATATATACATGTGAACATTCGAAATGGAATGTTAGTAGTATAAGTGCCCCTTAAATACAAATGGAAGCCAGATCCTCAATGGTGTATTGCCAACAATTTTGACCGGTCTAGTAAAAATATCAAGAAGGAGTGCATCATCTTAAAAGCATTCAAGAATGAGCTTTTACAAGAAGATTTAGTTAAGGGATTGTTAATTTTGAATAAAGATATTTGCTGGCGAGGCCAGTGAATCTTCTACTCAGGGACGAATACGGTATGATGGTTTTATAATAATATTAATGGTTCTAATAATCCCAGCATTTGCCGTAAGGTTGCAGATTAAAAGACTTAGTTAAGGGATAAATGACATTGTTATGGTGATCCTTTACGCTGCTTTATATCGAACAATTTATATTTCACTGACTAAGCCGAAATTACTTAAAGACGAGCCACAGGAAAGCCTCTTTTCAGGGAACAGTTACATCCACCAGTTACATCCATCCTATACATATAAGAATTTCTTGTTCAGTTTGAATCATTCAATGCACGCGCTCACAGCTACCATTGCCGAAGATATACTAATTATTCTTTACCTCCTATAATCCAAAGAGTAACACCCATGTTGTTAAAATGTAGTATGCACAAATGATTGGTTTGTTTGCTGATCTTTGTTTTTGTTTATGCAAAATTACTGTGCGCATAATTATAAATATTGCTTTATTATGCATAGCAGTTACCAAGTTAGATGTTTTAAAATTCATTTATGATTCTACGTTGAAAGATTTACCGCATTAAATATTATCACCTAAATAAAATTAAAACAAAATAGGAATAATACTTACATTACTAATTACGGCAAACACAGATAATCCTTTGAGAATTGTCTGCCAGGCACCTGTAAATAGGTAATTACTTTACAGAATAATACAATTTAATTTATATTTGACTAATCTTAAAACATACCATGTAAGGAATTTATTCAAAAGAATATTCTTTATTGCACATGATAGACTGATCCCAAATATATCAGTTATTTTTCATATTTATGAATAAATAGTAAATAATAATTATTATTATTATTGAGAGAAATTGACACTGAGTTGCGACTTCCTAGTATTTGTATATGCAATGCATTAAACGACATAGCGTAATACTTAATAAAAACTTTTATTTTAATGTTATAACTTTATTCTATTCATAAAGAAAAAATAGTTCAGTTATATTCATTTTTATGGTACAGGATTTAATAGTTATAATTCTAAAATAAAGAGATTGTCCATATGTGTACATAAATGCATCTGGGTATATATATATGCATTATGAAAAAAAGAGTTTGTCCTTATGCCTTAATCAATTAGATCAATTACATTAATTGATTAAGGCAAAGCAGCACGAAGACTATCTGCCTATGGGAAGAAATGGCTTCGTGGAAGACTTTTGAAAGAAAACTGGCTGGTATCCGCGTTACGCATGAGAAAAAACACAATCTTCATACATCCAGCCCGTTCTCCGGGGTTAAAACCCGGGTCAAAGTACCAGTGTTCAGTGATTTTACCGCTCGGCCACTGGTGGGCCCATGCATGTACACTTTTTGCATAAAGTTTTTGCATAGAGAAGTTCAAAACTGTGAAATTTATTACATAAAGTCTTCAAGGAGCTATATGGATACCTCAAAGCTAATTAAATTTAATGCTGATTCAAATTTTAGATTTTTCTCAAGTATCATTTTTCAATAATTAAATTAATAATCGAAGAATTTTAGTCTCTATAGTATTATGTAACTAATAATCTTATAAATAAAGTTTATTCTGAGTTTCTCTCATTAATTATTGATTTTTGGGAATGGTTTCAAAAATATTTCCGACTTCAATCAGTATATTTCCAATGTTTTTAAATGCAACATGGAATTTTCAAGATTTTTAACTCGTATAAAAGAACCATATTTAAATAATCTAATTATATTAGTAAGAAGAAGCTCAGTAAAAGGATGTTGCATCAAATGCAATCGCCATGCGTTATTTTTTACAGAAATAATGTAGCAAATATATATTAAAAATGCTCGACAACACTTAACACTCTATTTAGAATTCTAAACGTACGTTATTCTCAAATATTTTGTTGGTTTGCTGTTGAGTTTTATGTGGCATAATTGCAAAGAAAGTGATGTTTCTTAAATCTTACTTGAGAATCTTTCTTATCTTTCTTAAGAAGAACATACAAAACATTTTAAATAAAGAGACGAAAAAGTTCTGTAAATAATCTTATTAAAAAATCTGAATATTGACATGATGAACTGAGAAAAGATTGAAAACATTAATGGTTTTATTTTAACATTGTATTGGGAATTCTAAACATATGCTGCTTTGAAAAATGTGATTTTGCTGCCGAATTTTATGTGGTGCAAGTGCAAAGAAAGTTATATTTAATATATAAGGTAAAAAGACAAAAAATACATCTGGGTTATCTTGCTGAGAGACTGAATATTGACATGATGAATTGAGATAAGAACGAAAAAAAAAATAGAAAAGCGTATGGCGATACTTAATACTCTATCGGGAATCTAAAAGTGCTTTTAAAATTTTTGTGATTTTACTATGGAACTTTATATAGATTAAGTGCGAAGAAAGCGTTTAATAATAAAAAAGACTAAAAAAGATGTGTTAGAAAAGTGAGTCTGGGAGATTATAGACTGGTAAACTGCTAGGTCCGCAAGGAATCTTTCAGACTTTGTTATGTTTTCCTTTTTTTAATTCTTTCTTTTTTCCCACATAGTATCTTACGTTTTTAGTTACAAAGTAAATTCTACGAGAGGTTCTTTCTTTCACTGATCATAAAACTTTGCTTATAAAGAGCATGACGTCATCCATTGCTTTAATAATATACTGATTAGTTTCCTCCTTTTGGTTTTCATTTATTGATTATCTTCTTACTTCTGTGAGTGTTTTATAAATACCTTAACCATGCTTTTTGAAAATAAACTATATAAAAATATATACTTTTTTCTCCATGAGGAGATCGGGCATATCGCTAGCGATTTATAAGATTACTGCAGGTAAGCTTCTTTTTCCTGTCACAGTAGTTGTTTGAAAACATCCTAAATAAGGTTTATTTTTTAGGCTAAAACAAACAATGACACTTTTGTGGCTTTGATAAAACAACCAGCGAATAAACATTAACATATTGTATGTTGCTCTTTTCAATACTGATTTCTACAGTCTAAAAAGTATCTTAGATTTAAAAGTTTAAAAAATATGACAGTCTTTAAAATAGACATGAAATACCAGAAATACTTTAAAAAATCGTGGGAAGAATTCGGAACAGGAAGACAAGAAATAAATGCGAAGAATTTATCCCATAATTATGTTTTGCTTCCGAAAGCAATTGACTCTCATTTATCTTCAAACAAAAGATAAACAACCTACACTATATTTTCCTAATTAAACCAGAATGAGTTTCGATTTTTGTTGTTCGAACATTTGTTACGTATGCTTAATTATCTATAATCACCAGGAACGAACATTTTATGATAGTACCTCATTATTCATATAATTACGAAAATAAAAGAATAATTACCACAGAGGTGGTAGTGAGTTTTCCTAGAATGCATCATGAAAACAAATTACGAACTTTTACAGAGAACTATTCAAAGTCGGTGCTATAACACCATGCAAATGATTATAATTGCCTGCGTATTTAGGTAAAGAAATATTTCGATTTTTTTCGACTAAAGTGGTGTTTTGCAAATTTTACCCATTAAACAAAATTCACGGGAATAATAGTTATGGGTGGACTTTAAGTCACATTATTTTATGGCTCGAAGTAAGAAATTTTTGAAATAAGCACATTAGAAATATTTGACACGAGTGTTTCACAATATTGTTTTAAGCATGGTTTTTAAATAGCAGTCACACAAAAACTTCTTGCATTTGACATAATTAGACGAGCTGAATTTTTGTGTGTTGAATATTATTTTGATAAATTTTTATATCTACTTAACTCTTCATAGATAACTATCATATATGCGCATTAAATGGGAATTGGCTTTTAAAAGACGGCCGACACGCAGACGCTTGTAAGGAAGCTTTCACCTAATGGATAACGCACATTCGCGTTTTCTGGTAGAACAATATGATCATTAATCGAATGACAGATGGTATTCTTTGTCCAACTGCGACAGAAATGAGTTTTTACATATGTTGACTGTTAGAAATGTGCTTTCGTTTTCTTTTACTTTTTTTTTGAGAATTATGAACACCAGTTTCTTAAATGTAAACAATACTTGCCTTCGAAGGCCTCTGATAAATCTCTCGTATGATTTGTTCCCTCCCCATTAAATAAAGGTTCCTTTTCCTCTGTAACGAAGAATATTACTATTATAAATAAAAACGTAAGTAAACGAAATGTTAGATAAGGATAGGATTTCACTCTTTCTCTCTGACAAACTGGGCATATGTCTTAAATGATTGAAAAACCAGAACACTTGTTTTATTATTTCCAGCAAATGTATTAATGTGAAAATAAACAACGCTTTACCCCAAGAATATTTTTAATAAAAAATTAAGAGAATTAGTGATATAATAATATTTCATAATATTAATAAACTCAATAACTTAATTCAATTATTTGCAATTTTTATATTTTTTTCTCATACATCCCGGGACAGCCCAGGGATATTCAGTTTTCATTCTTGGTCATTCCGCAACATTTCCGAAACATTTGCAACATTCCAGGCAAATTTACGGGAAATATTTTATGATTTTTTAAAGAATATTCCTAGAATGCTCCAAGCATATTCCAGTTTGAAATGCACTTCGGATCTGCTGCGAGATATTTGCCTGAAACATTCTATGCATATTTCATATATTATGCGTCTGTAATTTCATATATTCTCAAAACGTATATCAACGCTTGAAAAAGAGTGGCTTCCTGTGTACAACGCAAAGAAAAGTTTTATATATTGAGCAGGTAACAAATTTTCTTTCTGTTTGTACCCCGAATTTCTGGAACATTCTTAGAATATGTAAAGAATGTTCCTTGGATATTTCTGGGCATATTCCTAGCACATGAAAATAGGCATACCGTTGGCTATTGCATGAATATTCTAATATATGATTATAAGATTATGGAATTTTACTAGAATATTCTTGTGTCGTATGGGACATTATCACATCTAAACCTCAAGGGGTCTGTCTGATATCAATGCTCGCAAAACCTTCCACTAAAACATACTAAAGAAAACATCATATATGCATCCACCATGATATTCGATTCACAACCACACTTTAGCAAGAAAGTCCTTCCAAATTCCTGCCTAGGAAGGAATCATCGGACAGAGGCCAATAAAACGGTTGTAAAATCGTCACCAGGTGTGGTGGTGTATTTAATTATGGCAAAGCACACTAGGGCTATCTGCCTAACAGGAGGGATGCCTTCGTGGAGGACTTTCTAAGGGAAACTGGCTCGTATACACGTTACACATGGGGAAAACCACGAAAAGACCCATGCAGCCAGCCCGTTCGCGGGATTCGAACCTCGGACCGAACTACCAGTGTTCAGCGACTCTACCGCTCGGCCGCTGGTGGGCCGAAAAATAGTCACCAGACGAATGTCTTAGGAAATACCACACGTAGCTAGACTATCAGCTGAGCACAAGAAAACGATTATTCTTGCAAAAGAAGGACAGAAGGTTACACGAATAAAGCAGTTTCCAACAGCAGGATAAAGAAGCGGAAAGTTACACAGATAAAGTCACACGGATAAAGCAGTTTGGGGAAAAACAGTTTTTCCAACTAAAAAAAAAAAATCTGTCTAAATTTCCTATCCCATCTCCCAAAGTTTATTTTGTAAAAACGAAGCCAGGCTGTACAATGACTACATTCATCAAAAACCGGGACTTCTGAAAAGCCGGGACGTACAGCAAGCCTAGGTAAGGGAGAACGGACGGCTTTTGAAAGAAAGAGATTTGTACCATATAAATATGAAAGTATAATGTTGACATTGAAGTAACAACAAGAAGATGTGGCTCGAAAATTATTCAAATTTCAGAGTAGATGCTTCGAAGTACAACTTCAGAGTACAACTTCGAAGGGTGCCGGTGCAGCCAGAATGACATCAGCATGCGTAGATCAACGTATCATCCGACAAGAGGTGGCGCACCCACAAGCCACTTCTCTATCCTGCAGCATATTCAAGACACCCTGGATGTTTCCATATCGACCAGAACCATTGGTGGCTAGTAGCTTGCACTCGTGGCGGCCGTTAAGAAGACTGCCATTGACCCCACATCATAGACGCAAACGTCTGCAATGGTGCTGGGCTCGAGCAATGTAGACGATGAAATTCCACATGGTCGTGTTTTCAGATGATTCACGCTTCTTTTTCTCCAATGAAAGTCGGCGCATACGAGTGTGGCGTCCATGTGCAGACAGGTCTAATCCGGCAGCAATTGTGGAACGTTCCACCGAGCGACAACGCGGCATCATTGTTTGGGGCGCTATTGCGTACGATTCCAGCTCATTTCTAGTTCATATTCGGCGCACAATGACGGCCCAAAGATACACGGATGATAACCTGTGGTCGGTGACACTCTCTTACCTTCAGGAATTGCCCAATGCTCTTTATCAGCAGGATAGCGCTCGATCACACACTTTTCGCATCAGCCAATGTGCTCTGTAAGGTGTACAGATGCTTCTCTGGTTACCGTTCTCTCATGATCTCTCACCAATCGAATACATTTGGGATGTGATTGGGCGCCATTTGCAAACTCTGCCATTGTTGAGTTCAGAAGACAAAATGTGGCAAATGGTTGACAGGGAACGGACAGCCATTCCTCAGAGCACCATCCGCAGTCTCACTGAGTCTATACTTAGACGTCTTGCTTCGTCTATCGCTGTCTAAGGTGGTCCAACAATCTAGTGAGCCAACGCTCTTCTCTCTCTGTATTATGCATATCATTTCGAAATAAAGATCACTTATTGTTCGTTGCAGTCTCTCTCAGTTTGTCGAATTCTATCACTTCTAGTCATCCCTTCTTGGTGTTGCATTTTCAATGTCAGGTAGTGTATAATTATAAAATATAGGTGAAATGGAACGTCGTCTAACAGAGAGGAGATGTGGATCTTTTATCACCATATTAGTCTTTGCGGGGGGGGGCGGAGCACGAGAAAATGCATAAACAACTATTTTGAATACGAGAGTAATGTGACCCGTCTTTGCCTTGCGATGTATCAGAGGAAAAAACCGTGTAGTAAAAATAGCAGAAGATTTGATCAAGTCCAAAAACGAAAACTCTTTGATGGAATTCATAATTTAATTTACCGGTTGGAGGATTGATTCAAAAGGCATAAATATTTTTAAATTCTTTAAATTACCAGTGGTTATTAAAGTAAAATTTACGCTTCTTTTAATAATTAAATCTCTATTCATTCAAAAAGACCGATTTGACATTTAAAAAATCTTACATTTGGGGTTTTTTGTGTATTAGGCTTAGCGTGAAAATTTGCGATCATTTATGATAAATTATATTTTTTGCAACAATTTCTAGCTACAATGCCGTATCACCAAAACTCCAATGGATATGCAAAGGGCTGATTTTGAAATAAAAGTTTCAGATTTACGCCTGGTAAATGGATATGAGAGTAAGGTTTAGTTTAAAGGTTGTTCCATATTTATGATTTATTGTCAAGCTTTACACTCTACTCTTGTCTTCGACTCATTCCAGAAGTATTTAAATTTTATTACGGTAAAAGAAGACGCAGCACACGTATAAATATATTAGTTAGTTGATAGCCCTGTGAAGGATATTCTAGTAGCGATACTGTGTTTAACAATTTGGGCTTTCTACCAGTAGTAACTCAATAAGCATTGTGAGAAAATAAACTTCTCAAAACAATTAGAGAATAATATGCGGATATAAACTGCGGATGAGAGCATGTTTTGGCGACTGATATATGATATATAGGTGTCGTAAGATATGAGAAAAAAAAAGCAAGGAATAATTAAATTTTATTGATGATATTTGTCAGTAAACAAAAAATGCACAATATTATATAACTAAAAAAAATGTAATTTTTCGGATACAGATGAGTTTCAATGAAGGGTATGGTGTGCCCTGACCGAAAGTTATGTCGAACACCTACTAGGCATGGAATCAATGAGATGATCAATGAGGGGACTGGAGGTATCCCTCCTAATCCCGTAGAAGACAGTTTTCAAACTGCTGAATTGTTTCTAGAGGTGATAAGCGACCAGCAATACTTCTTTCTAAAAGATCCCAAACATGTTCTACTGGTTTCATATCTGGGAGACTTACAGGCCAATCCATTCGAACGATTCCTCTATTGAAAAGAAATTGTCTGCTAGCTGAGCACGGTGTAGCCTGGCGTTATCATTCATCCCCGATTGCCGCAGCGTAAAGAAACATCATAGGTTGAGATGTTATCTCTATATCGCTGAGCCGTTATTGCTCCATTTCTGATAATGTGCAGGTCGGTGCGGCCAATGATAGAAATACCGACCCAGATCAACACCGCCTCAGCCAAATCCAACCCTTTCATACGCAAATGAGTAGTCTTCTATGTACCAGGTTCTCTCCAGGTGAGAATCCTATACACTAAAGCGTGACTCGTCCGTGAAGAGCACGTTGGTTCACTCACCACGGTGGTTCTATGTCAAAGAAACACAAATCATAGGTCTGAGAGCATATAATCGCACACGTTAGAGTCGATTTTGAACAGTTTGAATCGGAACTCTGATACCAGCAGCCCTCTGAAGGTGCTGTTGAAAGAAAGTGGCGTAAATAGTAAGGTTTCTTCTTGCTCTTAGTGTTAAATACCGATCCTCATTTTGTGTCGTTGCAGAGAACGACTTTGTCCACATCTCCGGCCAAAATTTCCAGTTTCCAAAAACTGATTCCTTAGTCTGCAAAGAACACTTTAAGAAATTCCTAACGCTTCCACTGCAACAGATTGCGTTTGTCCGGTCTCTAAATGACAGATGGCCCTTCATGCTACTGATTAAGTCATTTTCCTAAAACATCGTACTCACTATTCTGAAACATTCAAGGCATGTCAGTTTTTTTCTAATTGACTTTTACAGAATGAATGTTGCAGGTCCCGTTTCACTCTTTATCTAAAACACATAGTTTGATGTCGCAGACAAAATTTGCATATTCCCAATGTTGTAAACGTTACAATATTTCTTTTTAAAATCTTCTTTTCCATTTTTGTTAAAAAAGTTGTCGATTATATGGTTATTTCATACCGAACTCTCAGTATTCCCTAACTGTTTTGAGCAGTGTATAAGGAATCACCAAATTTTTACATCAATAGTATTCTCTAAACAATTTACTAATAAGACAGTTAACCCAGACTTCTAAGCTTTGCTTTATTTTGCTTTTATGCGAACTTTTTATATTGACACGGCACGATTTGCACTTATAGAAACCAACAAACACCTTGTACACTCTAGTAACTGCCGTTTCTATGGTCACGAGAGAACGGCGAAAAATGATCCTAATGTTTCTATTTACAATATGCCAAAAGTTTCAATTGCAGAAAAAAAACTGTTCACACATAAGTATATTCCCAAACAAAGCGATTATTTTTATTGCAAAAAGTATTTAACTAATGGTATTTATCTTTTGACAAGTACGAAAAATATTAATCATATCTGTATCATAAAATTTTTGAAGAAGAATTACATAATAGAATAAATTAATTAACCCCATCTGCATATTTTCTAAGGCGTTATTCATGTTCGGTTTTAGTGGTAATGAAAATAATGTAAAATTGGTCTCAAAATAATTAAAATTTTAAACCTTTCTTCGAGTTCTTGCCATAATAGGGCTAATTAATTTCTGGGAAATGAATTCTACGTCCACTTAAAATTGCATCGGGGGTTGCATGCTGCTCGCAGACCACCATTCTGACACCACTGTCCTACGCAATCCTAAAATATTACAGGATGAGTAACGGAATGAATATTAATTCAAGTAAAGTTGTATACTCTGAAACATTTTACCATTAAGTAACCAAAGATTAAATCTCTCCAGTAATACACGGCTGGATATTTCAATACAGAATAAAATAATTAAACTCTAGCATTTATTATGCTTCAGATATCTTGAGCAGGCCAACACTTTTATTAGATTTCAAAGCTTGTAAAACTGCAGTTCCTGATGTAAATATAACTTCTGATAACAGTAGTCCTACCATATACGGATTTGTAAATACGAAAGTGTCATTAATCTACCACAATTGTGAACTTACTAAGATAAAAATTTACTAAATATATACTTACCAATGTTCGGCACTCGTGCTGACAGAGGCCTTCTCAACTGTGTGACGTACTTGTAAGCGTCCAAGCGAATCTCGACGATGTTATTCAGTAAAGCGAACAAAGGAGCCAAAGGAAAAGCCGCGACGAAAAGTGTCACAAAGCCAAACTGTATAACTGTACAAAGAAATTTGAAAAGTATTTCCCATTAATAAAAATTTAAAAAAAATTCTGGAACTGAAGTTAACTATAATCAGATATTAGAATATTTGAAACTGATGTTAACTATAATCAGATAATAACTATTAGAATATTAGAATCCAAAAGCAGCTTCCTCCCTTATATAGCAAGAACACAAGCCTGTTCGGTTAGAAAACTGCTTACAGAATGTCATATTTTTCATGAAATAATTATCTTCACAAATATATTGTATTGCAGGAATTATTCAGAATACGGAGAAGTATGATTCAAAGAGGAAGTGGACGAATAGGAAATGTTCTAGGATAGATTACTGCAGCAAAAATAAGACTGATCTCAGAATGTTGTGCATTTTTTAGCTGGGATTTTCAATGGTTGAGAAATCTTTCAATCTGTCATTTTCAGTTGTTTCCTGACAGTTTTCATGGTCCTTGCTATTTTATCTTTTATCTTTTAGGGAAAAGCTTAATTTATTTTTCCTCCTATTCCAGCAAAATAAAATAAGAAAGATCATTAGCTTCCGATGAAATAAGATCCCTAGGATTTTACTTGGTGTCCACCGAAAACATCGAGGACGAAAACGTCGTAGAGAAAACAATACTAGGCGAAAACGCTGTAGTAAAAAACATCGTGGGAGAAAAAGTAAATAGAAAACATCGCAGTTCTAAAACATCGTGGTTGAAAATAAAGCGATTCAAAAACTTCGCAGTTTAAAAACACCGTCGTCGAAAATATAGTGGTAAAAAATAAAGTACCTACTATAAAGCATTTCTACCACTTTCCAAGCGTCCTTCATGGTGTAGCGGTTCTGCACACTGAGCCGATATTCCAGAGGTCCGTGGTTCGATTCCCGGCGAAAGCGGTTGCTAATTTTTCATCTCTCTGGCTTCCAAAAAATCCTAATGTCTCTACACTACAAATCATCGCATGATGATAACATCGCACATACGCGTTTTTCAGGTTTTAAAAGTCGTATGTACATTTTCGTATAATGACCTAGGAACGCAAGAAGGAAAGAGGGATATTTTTACTTCTATATTTCATACCTCTGAATGAACTAATAAATTTTTGCTGAAAAAGTAAGAAGAAAACTTCAGCATTTATTAATTTAGTTTGTATAATTACTTATTTTAGTCCGTATTTTCATAAACTTACATTCATTAAGATGACATTTATATTATTTAAAGAAAGTAAGAAAGCAAAATATCTTAAATCATAAGCTATTAAACGTTACCCGTTGTAGTAAAAGAATGATTCCGTACCCATTTCGAGGTATTCATCGAACAACGCCATCCTGTCACATTCCAATAAATTATAGTCAATCTCCCAACGAGTTGTAGCTTTGCGATCTTTAGGACCGTCTCGCGTCCGCCACCACCGTTTCCACCAATTCATCATCTCTCTGATAAATAAATAATGCAAAAAATCGCAGCATTAGATACAACATTTTTATACATACAGGACTTCATTCTATACTAATTACAGATTGTTCCCTGAAATACTAGTTTAAATTATTGAACAAGTTACTGATAATCTGATTTTTACCAGATTACGGGTAAAAATCTGATACTCTACATTAGCAGTTTTAACAATCAGTAGAATTACGTTTTGGGGCATATATTCGAGTATGCACGTAATAATAGCCCATATACGCATTTGAACAGAAAACATTTGATCAAAGATTTTTAAATAATTTATTTTATATATGCTATTATTCATTTGTAAGTAAAACTTTTAAAAAGTGGGACTAAATAATAAAGTAATTTCTAACTGCAACTGTATTAAAAGGTACAGACTTTATTTAGAAAGAAATTTAAGGGGATATACTTACGCCCAAGAAAGCTCGGATATATTATTCAAAATCTGTTTCCCCACCATTATAATGGCCAACTGCACGCATACTTCAAACAAGCAACCTCCAAGTTCGCACTGCAATAGAAAAAAAAAGGAAGAAGCAGCCGTATTAGTAAAATCTGTCACATAAAGTCATTTAATTTGTAGTCTAAGAAAAATATTTAAGGCTAGAATACCTGGTCTTGTCTAAATCCAAATAATGTAAAAGTGTGCCCTGGATGACCAAAAAACCTGTTAAAGAAATTTTGAGGGTTTTTAACTGTTCAAAAAAGTTAACTTGTAACATCAGCAATTCCAATAATGACTGGAAACCTGCTTTAGTGTTAAATGGAAAAAGCTATGAAGATAAAGGAAACAATAATGTTTTCGTATTAATTACCAACTGTAGTTTTGCATGAAGATACTAATTAACCTAATGCATTTCCAAGAAATAAAAATAAATAATTTAAGAGAACCGCTTTCCTTAGACAGATGAAGAAAGAATTTATTTTAAGCTCTCTTCTTGAATTATCTACATGCTGAGCTTCACTATATCAGCTTCTTGCCTCACAGTACTAACTACATAAACTACAACAGAAAACGATATTCATACATCAGCTATTTATGAGTATTCATAATAAGTATTCATAACACGCAAACTATATTTCGGAGACTGAAATGAATTTTTTCTTTAAAAAAACTAGTTTTTCAAAAACTGATTATTTAATTAACGCATTTACATAATGTATAGGATTATGAAACAAATGCAAACTGAAAGGGAATGCACATGCCACAAAAAATATATTATGCAATACATAAAAATTAAAGTTATAGTAATAATGTCATTTTAGGGGAAATTTTAATATCTTGGAAACCGATATAATTCTATCATCAGTAAAGAGATCTTCTCTACATGTGTATCAAAATGCAACTTCATGTTCTCAAAGCAATAACAGACAACTTTGCTTTCTGTCACAGTAGCAGATATTTCTGAGCACAATCTCAATATTTTTCTACTGTTAGAATTCTCATCTTCGAATTTCGCTTAAGCAGCTTGTTACTCTATAATTTAGTAAGATTATTTTGAAAATCAATGCTCATATCAGTAATAATGGTAAAAGAAACTATCATCATACTGGTATATTCATCGTTAGCAGATCACTGATCCGTGTGCGCATATCTCCGAACAAATGTTCTGAATCCTTAACGAATACAGTAAGATCTGTGAATTTTGTTGTTACAAGGATTTACTTGAAAACTTATGATATTTCATATATTAATCTTAGAAAGTCATCTATGCAAACATCTCGTCTTTTAGGCGGATAGTCATAAAGAGTTTTACTAAATAAATCAGCAATTCTATATTAATCCTGAAAACCTCGAGTTTTCAAGAGAACGAAATAACAGCGCTTTAGCAATCCTTGTTTTCAAAGAGATTTTCTTTTAACTAGATGTTAAGAAATTCAGTTTTCCAAATGCAGCTGTTAATGGAATGTATCATGTGTTACAGCATGCAACCAGTCTTAGAATTCTTTTCTAGATAAACGAAGCTTTGAGTTCTTTGCTTGAGATTCCCAAAGAATAATTAAGCAAAGCTACATAGTTTCTGTCGGATTGTCATTATACATTTGCATACAGTACAAGAAATTCAAACTTTTTTTCATTTTCACTGCATTTTCGTGAACACGGTCTTAAATATCGTTTAATATCATGAAAAGTGCAATTTTCCTTTCAATGTTAAATTAGTTAATGCAGAGGTCTACTCTTTGGAGGTTTGCTACTAAATGTTGCCGATGAATCAGACAAAGTATATCACAAAAACGTGCAATGAAACCTCTGTATCTGCCTCTATGGATTCAGAGCCAATAGTAGCACAAAATCATTCCATTTTCTGAGATGAATACTGTTTTCTTTGAAATAAATGGCAACTTTTCAAAAATGTTTCATATTTAGTGCGTCTGTTTTGAGGATTTTATAAAATTAATTCTGAGTAGAAAGCATTTCCTTTCAAAGATACATTCCGAAAAATGTACATTTCAATGTGACAGTTACCGAGGAAGTAGCTCTAAAGCAGTAAATAAATTGTCAGAGATTACAAATAATAAGGTAGAGGTGAACTGGTACAAAACTAGTGTTAAGCGACTTTTATCAAATTCAGCTGTGATAACTCTTGGATGTAAACCTGTGAAAATTCTGCATGCAGGGAAAAACTAAGCAGGTATTTGTAGCAATCAATCTCAGCCATTGTCTAATTTTTCAAGACAGAGATATAGGTGCGTTGAAATAATTACACGTTACTAAACAATGTCAAAATGTTAAGTAACATCAGTTTTGAAGTTATCCCTATATGACCGGGAAGATTAAGTTGATTATGATGAAGTTTGCAGCAAAAATAATATGTTGCATTAAATAAGTCTGTGATTACCGGACATGCTCTTTCGTTTATATCAGGGGTTTTCAACCGGTGGGTACGCAATAGAAAAATAGGATGTACGCAGAGAAGCAAAGTATTTTTAACTATTAAATTCAAAAATTAGAACCCCAGCATCCTGATTGAACTTCTTCTCTGACACTCGTAAATTTATGCGATCTGAGCTTTGTTCAAGAGTGGTGGTGGTAGTAGTACTTTGTAGTGGTGGTACTAAAAGTTTTCAATATTTGTTTAGATGGTACGCGTTAGTCAAAAGGTTGAAAACCGCTGGTTTATATGATTCCTAGGGTTTCACATGACTACCGGTTGAAAACGCTGCACTGTTGTCTGTAAGTGTGTATATATCTCTGATATTTCTAAAAAGAGAAAAGAAAAAAGCTGGAAACTTACCTGCCTTTAAAAAATGCAATGTATATAAGAGATGAATACATGTTGATGAATTCGAATAAAAACATTTTGAAAGTGAAGCTATCTTCATATTCTCTTTGGGTCCGTGGTTGCTCTGAAATTCATTTAAATTGCACAAAAACTCAGTGAGCGAAAATCTAAAAATTTTGAGATGAATGCAAATTTTATTTAAAATAAAAAGTTTATAACCGCTCTACGTGAAATACTTACCAAGATCCGTCAGTTTGGCAGTAAGTTCTCGATAAACCTGAAATAAAATCTTATTAATACTGTTGTAAAGCAATACTTTGCAACTGATAAATACAATACAGGAAAAAGACGTATATTGAGGAGATGTTTTTTTACGGAAAAGTACGGAACATTCATCAAATATTCCAATAAAAGAAATAAAAGAATGATGATGGTTAAAAAAATATATATAAAGTTTATTCCTCCCTACAGAATTTTAAATTACTGATATTATACGTAAAATTAATAAGTAAAGAATGACAATAAACTTCGTATAATACTGTCTAAGAAAGGAAATGCTACACCATCAAAGAATGATTGAAAACAGACTAAACTTTATAAACAGATCGATAATAAAATTTTCAGCATATGATTTAATTTTAAAAGTTAGATATACAGGGTATCAATAAAATGTTGTGGCCTCATTTCGAATAATTAAACTTAAATTTTTGAGAAATGGAGGTATTCAACTGATGCCCAATCATGTTCTAACAGTGCTCGATTGGCGAGAGCTTCTGGGATCTTCTGAGTGGCCAAAGAAGCACTTGTACACTTCAGAGTATATTCCTAGTAAGCCGAGCAGTGTGAGCCCAACTTTATCAACTTGATCAATGACATTTGGAATGCCTTGAAAGATACGGAAGAAGAGAGAGTTGCATTACGTTCTCAACTTAGCCGTGCCTAATGTGCGTTAAAGACAAATGGCTGTTAGTATTGATGAAACCCGAAAACATTATTCATTATATCACGTTGACCGGATGTATGTCGCTCAAAAATGGTAGATGTTCAGCCCGGTGTATGCCTTACTAACACAATCTCATATACTGAACATAAGTTTTTGAAATAGAAACGAGATTCATCGCTGAAGTTTAAACTTTTCCATACAGCAAATACAGTTTAACCTATTCCATGCATGCGATGCCACTGCAGACGTACACGGTGATGACGCGATTCTAATCGCAGCCTTTGTGAATGAGACTGGATTTGAAACTTTCATTAGGCACTCGAGGCTAAAGTGACTATTAAGATATTGAGTAACGAAAGCATTCTGTGCACTTAGAAAAATGTATCTAACTGTGGACCGTGGGTCAGATACGGCGGGACTTTCACGTCTGTCTCTATCATGCATAACCCTTAACTATCTTCCCGGCTCTACTGTCGCCAATTCAGATAAGCTGTTGTGGAATCAACCAACGTTTCCTCTGCGATTCAGCAATGTGCATGGCAGTACGTTTGTTTCAGAATAGCATGGCATTTTCTCTGTAGGGGCAAGGTATATACTAAAGAGATTATAATGCTATGACTAATTAATAAAAATGTTTAGATATTCATCAAGGATTCAAAATTATGGTTTAAAATTTAAATTCGTTTTTATTATTTCATGTAACATTTGATTGCATTTTAAGAAAAATTTCCCATTCTTCACGATCTTGAATGAATAATGCTCATAACTAATGTTGTTTATTTTATTTTTTTTCGTGTGTGAAGGTTTTCGCACAGTGTTGCTAAATTTAATATAATTTCTGGCTTCCAGATGCAGCAATAAAAATTTTCTGGCTCTTATTACATTTCAGTATTATTACTTTTCATATAGGGACTATTGTGGTATTTTAATCCCTACCCCCCAAAAAATGGATGGAGACTTGCTAGTTTTAAGGATAAATCAGTTATGGTTAAACCCATTGGCCATTTCATCTGCGAATGGTCTTCAGAGTGTGTCACGGAAGGGGATCGATATTATACTTGATAGAAGGGAGAAACAGACAGCTGCAAATATCCCTGTCTTCTCCGAGATTCAAAACCGGTTCTAACTAGGCAGCAGGATCCTCAATCACCATACCGATCAAAGCGGACATTTGAACAGGTTTAAATTTCGAAATTTTAAAACATGAAAATTTCTTGTTATCAATGCATAATATGGAATACACTTTTTAATACACTTAAAATATTTCTACACATGCTTAAATGCATTATTTTTTCATTGAAAAATCTCAGCATGCACAAAACAAGATGAAGTTTATTATAAATGGATGTTATTTGTATTAAAATTTCATTAGAGTACATTAGATGCTTAAATATACTATTCAGATTAAAAGAAAACAACCTCATTTCTTTACAACGGTATTTAAAAACAAAACAGCAGATATTTATTGTTAAAAAATATTTCAAAAAATTTCTTGAGTTGCAAAAAATATGTCAAAAACTTACTAAAGCAATTATGAAAGAGTACTTATGTTCATAAGTAAGCATAACTGTTCCTCGTTCCTGGAATAGTCAAACTCTACAAAATGACCATCTGCTGTGTTCTTAATATTCTATGTTTCTAGACCTGATATTAATGATTTCTTTTGTACATTGATTAAACGTACTGTTTTCTATCAGAAGATCCTAATAATACATAACAAAAACCATCACGTGAAGCAATATTGCAACTATGTCTCATAAAGTTTGTGCAGCTAAAACGAATGTAGAACATTGTTGTGACGTACGGCAACCTATGGAAGGTGCTTGTTTAGCTGTTTGACATTTGTAAACTTCAATCGTTTCCTTGTCCAGTTACGTACGACATGTTTTTGTGTTGCTTTAAATAAAAATAATTTTAGTATATTCTCTTTCGTCTTTTTGAAAAAAAACTTTTTTCGAGTTCTAGGGACTGCCGTATTGTAATCATGTGGTGTGAAAGGATGTTATTAGCGAAACTTTACCTTGTCCATAATGACGATGACGACTAGATTCAACAAAGATGCTGTGATGGATGTGGTGATTTTGGCGTACGGTTGCCAGATTGGATGATCGCTCGCTGTAAGCACAGTCACCAGAATGATTCTATAAACAATCATTCCGAAAACAGTGCCCAGCAGGAGACTCAACTGAAAAAGAAAGAAAATATTTCATGAAATTATAGTTTCGGTACTTTTTTTTGCTATGAAAAAAATCTGCGTCTCTCATAAAACAGACCTTTCAATAGAAAGAGAAGAGGAACTGAAAATATATAAATTCAACAAAGCTTCAGAGTTCTTTATGAGTGCTGTTAAAACGGAAATATGAAATCACTGTTCTTAACAACCATTTTCTTAATTTTTATTCTTAAGACTTTTGTTTATCCACTATACAAAATTTACATTAAGAGATATTTTTTGGAGTGAATGCTTGAATTAATAAGATGAATATAAAAGAGCTTTAAGGGAAAATTAGTTCCACAGCTCATTTATTTGTTGCAATTTAATCAAATTTTACAAATGTTTTAAATTAAAAATGTTTTACAAATGTTCATAATGAAGTATTCACAGAAACTCGCTTTGTTCATTTCTTCCATGATATATTGATGACATTAAAATAAGACAGATAAAAGTTTTTAGATACGAAGGCTAAAAGACTGAAGACTACATAGTACTAGAATATTGACCTGGTCGTGCGCTGCGTTCAGGATGAGTACGCTATCAGGAAATGCAATTAAAAACTCTTTTCAAAAAGAAGATATTTTGCTTCAATAAAAAGCTTTGTAATCTAAAGCAGGTGTAAGTAACATAATCTAAGTAATATTCCAGAACTTCATCCTTTAAAATTTGTAGCGATTTTAAAATTTGTTTAAATTAATATTTAATTTATCATAATTTAAAATTTGTAAAGATAAATTGAATGAATTGAAATTGAATACTTTTGTATCTATTTTACAATTCTCGGAAGTCACATTTCGTAAAAGGCATCTATGAAACAGGATTCACTTGAAAAGAAATACAGATAAGAGAAACAATAAATAAATTAATAAAAATCTTCCCTAAAAATAAAACAAATAGTATCCATATCAACTGCTAAAACATAATAAATTCGTCTAAATTACCAAATCTCAGTAAATTTAATACTGTACTTTTGTTACGAGATAGATATAGAGTCAAACAGTTAGCCCTATATTAAAAAACAAAAATTCGCAGAACTACTATTTGTTGACATTCTTTAAAGTTTAAAGAGGAAAGAAATGAATCTATGTGGCCTTTAAGAAATTATCAGTTCGATTCATTGAAAAATGTCAACGCATTGTTCGCACAGAATATTTTAAAATTAAATATTTTGAACTAATCTTAGAAAAGTTGTTAAAATAACTATTAGCAGCGGTTACAGTTTCTTTTGATTGAAATATCCTTCTTTTAACAAACAGAAATTTTAAAGGAATTCTCTGTTTGATTATATGAAACATAATCTACTGCTACGGATTCAGTAACTGACTAATGAGTAGAAAGAAAGATTTCTTTTCACACTAGAAATGTCAGCAAAATTAATAATGCAAATAACAGGTCAGGTCTTCTAATTCATTCCTTTCATTCATCACAATTGGCATCTGCGGGTTACTTTTGATTCTTTAGAATTAAATCACAACTTAAAGTGCATCATATAGAGAGCATTTAAGAGATTAGAAAACTAGTGACAACGAAATGAAAGAGTGTTTCAGGAAGTGACTTCTAGGAAGTATACAAGAAGTCCTATGATTATGCAAGAGACAAGCAGGGTACTCGTTCAAACACTTCCGGTATATATAAACTCATAGCGACTTATCTGCACAACCATTCGAAATTAAATTTCAGGTATTGTTATTTGAAAATATGTGCTTTAGAGTTCTAACGGTTACGGTTACGGAGAAAACATATCGAAAGTTTCGAATGGCCACAGCCACATTTTTCCTGCGTAAATTGAGAATAAAAAATGACGTTGAAACGATTCACGTATGACGAAAATTGCTGGGGTAAAACATTTGAAAAGAATAATATTGTAAAGAATCAATAATAACACAAGAGAATTACAAGTTTTCAATGTGTACAACTTTCTAAGATTGACTCCCATAACTTTACAGTTTCGTGCCCACCGCGATCTCTGACCTCATTACGATGAATTTCTGGTTCTGGATGGATTTCTAAGTTGTACCTATCACATCCAGGAGATTTGTCAGAACTGAAATATGCCATAAAATCTTAAGTTATACAGATTCATCCTGTTTCGTCCGTTGCGACCGATCATAACTGTTGTCAACGACCTTTCACATGCAATGTATTATGTTGTCACTGATCCTTTACAATGCTGTTTACTTGCAAATATTTTACACCGGCAGGTTTCGTCATACGTGTATCGCTCCAACGCTATTTACGAATTTTCAATGCGCTGATCAATTTGAGGTGGAAAAAGGTGCCTGTTGCCATTCGAAAATTTCGAAATGCTTTCACTGTAACCGTAATCATGAGAGCTCTAATGTTTTAAATCATCACAATTTCGAGTGCATACCTTCAAATAACAATATCTGAAATTTCATTTCGACTGGCTGTGCCGATAAGCCGCTCAGAATTCAGATTTCGGGGAAGTTTTCGAATGAACACTCTTTAATAGTTTCTTTTTTGGCATAATCCGTTGTAGAGCTTGTGCACATCTATATATTAGCTGAAACTATGTCCCTTTTATCTACTTAAACCACTAGATTCAAACCTTTTTTTACATCTTATCCTCAAGGAATTGTTTCATTAAGCTTACTAAAGAAATGATGTCATGCCAACAAGTTTAGCTGCCTCTGTAAAGTACAGTGAACCCTCCTTAAAGTGACATCTAACAGTTTCAGGCGATTTTGATTACCTGAGGAAGGTGATCGAAGGTGGTCCATCGGAAGGAAGGTTTATTAGATTAATAATATTTTTTTATTGATCGATAAAAGTAATTATTTTCCAAGACACTGAATATGCATATAGATGCGTATTACAACGCACCGTTAACGAATAAAAGTTTATAATATTAATGAGTAAGTATGAGTTAAGATTTGAGACGCAGTCACTTAGTGATAGCGACTGCGTTTAATTTCGATCACATCTGACGAAAGGTTATGACTTACCACAAAGAGGACAGCTGAATTGGCTGCTGCTATCCTATATACTTTGCTCCAAAATGGAAGAAATGGCTCTATAGCCTGAAAATAAAAAGTAAGTAGTTTATTCAGCTTATAAGAGACATTCAAAGGAATTTCAGACCTATAAATAAGCTACAGATTTAAAAAGAAATATTAAAGTCGCATCAGAATGAAATTTAAAAGCTAAGAATATTTTTTTATTTTACCTGTATTTAAACCTATATGAATAGCAAAGATAGTGAAAAAAGCGTAAGCGATTTATTTGTGCAGAGCATTGGAAAATTTATAATTTGTTTTCATTTTTCTTACCATTGTGACTGGATTAAGGCGATAATTTTTTACTGTACTTTCATATTCAGGCCTAATTTGTTCCTGAAAAATAAAAATAAAAATCTTTGTGGCACAAACAATACATAAATTACCCCAAAAGGAGGGGGCTGCGGTAAAATCGCAGATGATTTAGAATTTAATTATTGATCTGATTACAAAAATTGCGCACATTAAAAGACATTACTAGTAATTTGATGCATTTGAAAAGAAATGCAAGAAATTTGTACTAGCGACACATACTAATATACTAAGAAGGTACTAGAACTAATATACATTGGTAGCTAGGGAACTGTAAAAGACAAAATTATTGTAGTGGATTACTACAAAGGGAAAATTTGTAAACACGACAGATATTGCTATGGATGCATTAAGAGAATTTTCGATCATTCTGTACATTGTTAAAAGTAAATCGGAGTAGATTTGTTCTCAATGTCCAAGTATTTGATATTTTAGAATTAATTTGTATTAAAGATTATGTGAAGGAATAATTTCTTCTAAGTGTTGGTTTCGAAGATTCTAATTTCCATTTTCCCAGAATTCTAAGATTCCTACTCCATATTTATTATTAGGTTATCATAGGAATAGTAATTGCACTCAATGATGCAGATGTGAATGTATTTGAAAGACAAGTTTTTATGTAGTGATTTAATTCTTTGTTTGTTTATAGGATCACAATAAAAGAATGTTGGGATTTTAAAAAGACACCTCTAAACTCTTTTACATTTATAGAAAAGATTCAGTTGTTAAAATGTTGAGAAAAAAATTTTTGCTTTAATTAACTTAATACTTTTCGATATTTTGCTTCACGTCAAATCTTAAATGTATGTTCACGATCTCGGGCCAAGTTTGCTGAAGTACGGAATTATACTTGGGAATTCTATTCTTTGCTGTAACTGAATGTGATCCTGTATATGCCGCACAGTAGCATAACTGGAGCAGTCCCATCCATACCGTTCTGTTGCATGGTAGCAGGAAAGCCGACTGCCATAGCCTTGGGTCCGTTTCGAAACTGACGAAGGCACGGGTGTTTGTAGATGTAAAATGTCTTGGTGGCAACGGAACACTTTAAATATTATCGAGCTAAAAGTCCTCTCGAAAAGATTACGATTATATTTCATATTTAAATTCCAATTAAATTAATTAATTATGATTTTTTAGGAACGATGTTTTAAAACTGGAAAACAAATTAATGTAATAATTTAAACAATAATAATTTAAGCATTTATAATTTAAACTTTAATAATTTAAACATTTGTGGGATTGAAATGAAGGATGATAAAATATTTTTACTTCTATAAAAATTTTCGTTACTGGAAGATTTACATAATTATATATTTTTTTTCTTTCCAATTTTTCATACGGATGACATGCAATATGTACTTAGCAAACATTACTTAAAACAACGAGTTGGGTTTTGCTCCCTGTCCGCTTTTGATTTAAAAACTCTCCCAGTTAAATGTTTTCCAAAGATTCCCATCACCCAGTGATGACTGCTAAATTGTTTCCTCATTTTGATTTTTCTTAAAGATTATTTAATATATCTCCTCAAAGAACGAACGAAAGAATTTCAAGAAATTTCTGCCATTGATGACTAGAGTTAAATCTCTTCTTCTCTTTGAATCTCTCTCTCTCTGTTGTTATTGGATTCTTTAAAACATTGCTATTGATTTCAGTAGTTATGTTATCTCACTTAAAAAAATACAATTACGTTTTCTGCACGAAGTAAATGAAATAGTTATCATTTAGTTTGAAAGCATACATATAGAGGTTTCGAGGCCCATCAGTGGCCGAGCCGGTTTTCCCCATGTGTAACGTTTTCACGAGCCAGTTTCCCTTAGGAAATCCTCCGAGAAGGCATCCCTTCCCTCAGACAGATAGCCCTCGATTGATTTCCCATAATCAAAAAAACCAAATAAAAAGTTTTGAAAACAATTGAAATTTTCAATTTTTATTAGAAAGGATTGACCAATTGAAACAAGTGAAATTATATAAATATGCTACAAGCTTATAACATAGTATTTGAAGATTGCGCTTGACCAGCTTCGCTGGTATGACCATACTGGACTAGATGAAGCCAGAGTTGACTCCCGTCCGAGATGTTGTTTTTAGAAGATTTGTTATGAACTTTGTGAACAATATTTGCATACTGCTGACGGTATGTAAAGACGACGTAATTAATTACTAGCTTTTTATCAGTTACCATGCGCCAGTGCTTTGGTTTGTCATTATGCAAACTTTGAAATGATGGGCATTGCTGTACCTTGTATTTCCCAGTAATTAATGATTTAATAAAGTTCACCAATAGTAATCCTGTTGTTGATTAATTGCCCGTGGTGCTCAATTGAATGAAGTTGATGTTTTGTCTTCCTCAAAAATTATCAAAAGAATCACACACCTGTTTGAGTAAAATAGTCATTAAATCTAAGAAACGTTCTAGGAAGTGCTAAAAGGCATGCATAAAGAAAGGAAAATGAATAGATAACGTCATATATGTATATTGAAGAAAATAACAAAGGAGATAATCAGAGCTAGAAGCCTAAAAGGATTTAGAACTATAAACCTTCCAGCAATTGAAAAAAGAAATCTTCCACAGAAACTAACTCTTGAACTGTCGGGGAAGAGACAAAGAGGGGGAAAAGTTTTGTATTGTTTTATTTTTGAAGATCCTTGTTTTGTTTTGTTTTGAAAGAATCTCGAAAAACATAAATTTGGATATATGGTTTAAGACATGAAACCTGAGCAACGGTTGATTTACTTTAGCTTCTACCTTTTGCTTGAAGCTTCATATCCCCAATGAAAAGGTCAAAACTAATTTCGTTAATATGTAATAAGATAGCTAACAGAAGAAACTAAACATTCTCAAAAATTCGTAATGAAATCATTAACAGCCAAACTATGCATTTTATAAACAGTTTTTTTATGCGTTTATAAAACAATTATGTATAACTGAAATTAATTGACTTGAGAACTTGAACTTCCTATTCAGGTTTTTCGAAACGCGAAAAATAGTGTACCCTTACTTTAAATTGATTCTCGGATCTTTCGTTGCTTAATGAATGTGCTTCAAGTGCATACTGATCTTCCAATTTCTAACTGAATGGGTCTCAGCACACCCAAACAACATAGACGAAAGTTCTTCACCAAATAATACACATATATATTTTCCTAGCTATACTTATTCATTCTTTAAAATTTTCGTTTCTTCATTAAATTCAGAAGAGTTTGCAATCAAAAAATAAATAAATATTTTTTTGTAAAATATTGCAAAACATTAATGCTGTTGTAAACATCTGGCTTGCAAAAGAAAAAGGCAGGAAAAGAATTCATTCATCAAAAATGCATTCATAAAGATAAAGCACTCAGGCGCTGCTGCAGTCTTTTCAAAAGCATATTTCAAGTTATTATTTTTGCTTTCAGCGCACTTTTGCCAATGCAAGGTTGGGTGAGAGAGGGTTAAGATTCTACTTACGAGAATTACGACGATGGAAGTGCTTGTAAATATTTCAACGAAATGAGAAGCACATTTTAATGCAACGTTTCTTTATGAAGTATTCTTTGAAAGCATATTTTGTTTGAAAGCTTTTATCAACCGCTGGGGAGAGAAGTCTTTTATTTGTTTCAAAAGATTTTTTTTTTTTTAGCTTTCCTTTCTTTTCTATTACAACGATTTTGCTAGCTGAAAATTCTGGAATTTTTTCTATAACAAGAAAAGTGATACTTAAAGCTAAGTAACGCTAACCTCGACACAAGAAACAAAGAACACAACCAAATTAAATGTTTGTGAAACTAAGAACTTTCAGTCTCAATTCTGACAGCTTGAATATACAGGTTATTCTAAAAAAGCAACTATAGAGCTTAATTTATCTAATACTGATCTTAGATGTGTGTTTTCAACTGCAAAAGATACATAATTTAATGAAAACATTTTCAAGCATAGGACGTTTCTGTCGAAGTAAAATTTGAAGTTTTATATGGTCTTCGCAAAACAAAAGATCGAAACAATAAAATGCTCCAAAATTTTAACAAGATTTTTCTTCCTCCTTCCAACATGCCTTCGTGGTGTAACGGTAGCACACTCGGTGCGTATTCGAGAGGTCCAAGTTCGAATCCTGGCGAAGACACTGCACAGTTTGCATGCTTCCGGCTTCCCCCCCCCAGAAAAAAAACCCTAATGTCTCTACAGTGGCGCCCAAACTAAAAGGTGGCTGACAATAATTCGTTACCCTCAGGATTTGACGGTTGGGTTCCCCTAATCTTCAGTTCCTCTTTAAAAAGGGTAGTATATAAGGTATTTTCTCTTTCCTTCCAGCATGACTTCATGGTGTAACGGTAGCACACTTGGCACGTATTCGAGAGGTCTAGGTTCGAGAGCACTGCTCATTTTTCACATGCCCTGCTTCAAAAAATAATCTAATGACTCTACAAAGTTAAATACAAAAGTTCCTTATCCTTATTTCTTCCTTATTCATAACATTCGTGAAAATAATAATTTTCATTGGTCTAGTCATAAAAGTATTAATGAGTGCTCGTTCACAAATACGAAACCCTTAATCGGAAAAACGGCTGGAAATGTAACTTTTTTGTTTAACTTATTAAAGCATGATGAATATTTTCATAATTGTTCTTTTTGACATACGAAAGATCGTATAAAATTATATTTCATATTTATAGTAAAACTCTTCCACCCCAGTTCCGAAATGTTTTCATAAAGTTCTGCACCTTATTTTGAGGAATGTTTCAATAAGAAATACTTATTTAGAATCGAGAAAAATTAAAGCATATATTAACCTTTTCGAACATGCTATGTAAAAGTATAACATTTCATATTCTTTTCAAAAATTTAAAAACCACCAGTAAAGTCACTGAACACTGGTAGTTCCGTAACGGGTTCGAATTACGGCGAAAAGACTGACTGGCTGGACGATTTCGTGATTTTGTTCTACGTGTAACGTGTATACGGGCCAGTTTACTTTATGAAGTACTCCATGAAGGCATTCCTTCTCTTAAGCAGATACCCTCGAGTGCTTTGGCAGAATCAAATA